TTTTTTTGTAAGGAAGACTAGCCCTGAGCTAACATCTATGCCAATCTTCCTCTGTTTTTTATATGTGGGACACCACCACAGCATGGCTTGATGAGCGGTGTGTAGGTCTGGGCCCAGAATCTGAACCCACAAACCCCAGGCCACCAAAGCAAAGCGTGCGAACTTAACTGCTACACTACTCAGCTCGCCCCATGTGGAATGATTTTTAATAGCAATTTCAATTTCTTCAATAGATATAGAGCTATTCAAAATTTCTGTTTCTCATTGTGTCAGTTTTAGTAATTTATGTCTTTCAAGAAATGTGTTCTATTTTATTCAACAGATTGTAATCTGTTAATGTCTTTAATTTTATTTTAATATTCAAATTATTCCATATTGGTCTGAGGGAGCACCTTTAAGTTGGTGTCTGTGCCCCTCTGGCGTGTCTCTATCATTCTCTGAGTATTTCCAAGTTTTTCTTGTATTTTCCCTGTCCAATCCTGGAATCAGCCATTTCCCTAGGGGACTGTGGTTGCTTTTAGTGCAGAATGGTATTTAGAAGCCAAGATTTAAACATTAACATTTATTTTACACCTAGATTTCTTTATTTTGAAAAACACAAGTTCACATTGATACCTCCAGTTCCAATCCAACACCACAGGATTTGTTCTAGATTTCTCCCTTTTCATATTTGTAATTCTCTTTCCTAATAATAAGAAACCTGGTTTGATATTTTTTCATTTCAGCACTTTAAAAATGTTGTTCCCTGTTCTTCAAGGCTTCATAATTTATGGTGAAAAGTCTGCCATTGTTTATATTGTTGCTCCCGTGTATGTAGCATCCCTTTTTTCTTTGGCTGCTTTCAAGGTTTTGTCTTTGTTACTGGTTTTTGGCAGTTTGACTGTGTTGGGCCTAGGTCCTGTGTTCTTTGTATTTAATCTCCCTGTGTTTGTATTAATTAATTTATTAGTTGTATTTGTATTAATCTCCATTTAATCAGTGGTTTTCACCAATTTTGAGAAATATTTGGTCACTATTTTTATAACTTTTTTTGTGTTCCATTCTCACCTTTCTTCTGAGTCTCCAATTACACATGTTAGATCATTGAAAATTGGCCCACAGATGACTGAGACTCTTCAATTTTTTTCTTTTCCCTCTCTATTCTTCATTTTAATTTCAATTATCTGTCTTTAAATTCATTGACCTTTTCTTCTGCCATCTCCAATCTGCTTTTAAGCCCATCCAGTAAACTTTTAATTTCAGATAATGTACTTTTCAATTCTAGACTTTGTATTAGGTTCACTTTAGTTTTTTATATTTCTGGTGAAAGTTTCCATCTGTTTACTCTTTTTGACCATATCTTTCATTTAAGTTGTTGAACATATTTATTATAGCTTCTTTGGAGTCTTTATGTGCTGATTGTTACAACTAGGTCATCTCAGGGTCATTTTCTATTGGTTCCTTTTTTCTCTTGACTGTAGGTCCCATTTATCTTCTTCTTCTTGTGTCTAGCAGTTTTTGATAGTGAACGTTATAAATGATACATGGTAGAGATTCTGGATTCTTTTATCTTTCTCTGATTAAATTACTGGCTGATCTCAGTGACTTCGTGGAGTCCTGATTTTACATTTGTTAGAGCAGGTGTATTTTGGTTTTGCCCCTAATCCTAAGGCAGATCCCTTAATCCTAAGACTTACTCTTTAGTTTCAATGCAGGGTCTTTCCAAGTTTTCAGTGGAATGTTTGAGATGCTTATTAAGCCCCACTAATTTAGTAGGAATCAAATTCTAAACTCTGTCTCCCCTCATGGGCAGCAGCTGGAATCTCTACTAAGATCTTTCAGTCTTCTAAGTATTGCTTTCCATTGAAATCTTTGGAGTCTCCCATTCATGTATGTAATTTGGGAGTTAGCCATGGATTTGAGGAGAATTTGTATGCATATTTTGATGCTTCCTTCCTCCCCCATGGCTCTTTCTTTTTTCTGCGATTTCTCTTCTCAGTTTGTGGCCCCTATGGCAGCTCTGAACTCCATCCTCTGACATCTCAAGCCAATAGACTGTGGCTTTCTAATTGAATTTTAGTCACCCTGCACCAAGTAGACTGGTAAGTACCCTCAGGGAAAAAGCTCATAAACATGGATCTTACCCAGTGTGGTTCTCATCTTTCAAGATCAGTCCACTCCTCCCTCCAGTTCCTGCCTACTTTAGGTCAATCTCCAGTGCCTTTAAGTATTATTTTAAAATACTTTTTCCATGGTTTATAATTGTTATCTGCAGGAGGATTAATCCAATACAAACACCTCTGCCATCATTGGAAGCAGAACTCTTTGGCTTAAAGTTTTACTTTATTTGTTAAATACCAATTACTTGATAAATGTCTTTTAAAAACACAGTAAGTTTCCTTAAAAAAAATTTTGTGTTGTCTGTACATGAATAGTAAATGTTTGTGGTATTAGTAGTTGCAAAAGAAGTACTGAACCCTGCACCTTGAATATATGTGTACCAATAGTCCCTATACACTAATGTCAAATGATCCAACTTGTTCTTTTAAAATATGTGTTTTGAAATAATTTCAAGTTAAATGACATAAGAATAAAACAGGATAAATTTTTAAAAGTTTAACTTGTTTAAAAGGAAACCTAATTTTATAATATTATTTGTCTCCATTTTCTTAAAGTGTATTTTTATCCACCTAGGCTCTTTCCAAAGAATGATAATTGACCAAAAATTAATTATTTAAAACATTTATGTTTCCATTGCTGATAAAATAAATGAATGAATGAATGAATAAATGGGGGAGAAATCGTAGCTTTTTTCTTACAGAATAATCCTAGTTAATAAATGTAGAAGGAAAGAAAGAAATTTAAAAATCACCATTAGAAACACCACGGTAAAAATTACTATAGGTAAGATCCGCAAATGGATGCTAAAATTAGCAGGCAAAAGTTGAAGCAGGAACAGAATATTTGCATAGTCTCAAAATATTTCCATCAATATATTTGGTAATTCCTAAAGGAAAAATAATAAGTTTACAATGGAGAACCTTGGCAGACAAGACCTTAGGCCAGTGATCAGGGTTAACATCACCAGAAATACTTGTCAACATGCCTCCTGACTTGGTGCATTGAGAAGGGCACATCACATCACCTCTGTGCTATCCTTCCTAATAATATATAACCTCATTCTGATCATGAGAAAACATGAGACAAACCTAAATTGGGGGACATTCTATAGGTTAACTAATTAGTACTCTTCAGAAGTGTTAAAGTAATGAAAGACAAGAAAAGACTAAGGAATTGTCACAGATTAGAGGAGACTAAGAAAATATGACAACTAAATGCAACGTGGGATCTTGGATTAGATCCTGAACAGAAAAAGAACATTAGTGGGAAAAGTAGTGAAACTCAAATAAGTTCTTTATATTGTACCAAGTTAATCCCTTAGTTTCGATAAATGTTCCCTGGTTATGTAAGACATTAACATAATGGGAAGCTGGGGGAAATGTATACAGGAATTCATAGCTATTTTTGCAACTATAATGTCGAGCTAGAATTTTAAAAAGTGAATTCTTTCCTATTGTTGGTTATAAGCAGTCACCTGTATCTTAAGATTTTTCTCTTTAATTTCAACACACACATTTATACTAGTAGTTCTCACAGAGTGTTCCTAGACCAGCAGCATTAACATCAACTGAGGACTTGTTAAAAATGCAAATTCTCAGCAGCTCTGGGGATGAGACCTAGCGATCTGTTTTATCAAGCCCTCCAGATGATCCTGATGCATGCTAAAGTTTGAGGACCATGATTCTTAAGACTAAAAGGAAATATTTTTATTAATATATTGGCCAGTTATTAGTAGTGTTTGCTTACCATAAAACATAACCAGTATTTTTTAATTGTGGTAAAATACATGTAACATAACATTAACCATCTTAACCATTTTTAAGTGTACAGTTCAATAGTATTCACATTTTTGCGTAACCATTACCACCATCCATTCCCATAACTCTTTTCATCTTATAAAACTGAAACTGTATACCCATTAAATAATAACTCCTCATTCCCCCTTTTCCCAGCCCCTGGCAACCACCATTCTACTTTCTGTCTCTGATTTTTACTACTCTAAGTAACTCATGTCAGTGGACTCATACAGTATTTACCTTTCTGTGACTGGCTTATTTCACTTAGCATAATGTCCTCAAGGTTCATCCATGTTGTGGTATATGTCAGAATTTCCTTCCTTTTTAAGGCTGTATACTATTCCATTGTGTGTATATGTATATGTGTATACACATATACATATACACACACACCACATTTTGTTTATCCATTCATCCATCAGTGGACACTTGAGTTACTTCCATGTCCTAGCCATTGTGAATAATGCTGCTATGAACAAGGATGTACAAATATCTCTTCGAGACTCTGCTTTCAGTTCTTTTAGGTCTATACCCAGAACTGGAATTGTTGGATCATATGGTAATTCTATTTTTAATTTTTTAAGGAGCCACCACCATACTGTTTTCCATAGCAGCTGTACCATTTTACATTCCCACTAACAGTGCACGAGGGTTCCAATTTCTCCACATCCTCACCAAGACTTGTTATTTTCTGAGTTTTTTTATAGTAATCATCCTAATGGGTATAAGGTGATATCTCATTGTAGTTTTGATTTCCATTTCCCCAGTGATTAGTGATGTTGAACATTTTTTCCTGTGCTCATTGGCCATTTGTGTATCTTCTTTGGAGAAATGCCAACATTTTTGAATAACTAACCCTCCCTCCTTCCATACATAGAGTGAAGCTACTGCTGCTCACATACTTGTTCATGGGCACGTCGGTGGCTTTTGTGGGCTCTCACTTTCTTTGCTTCCCCTGTCTACCTTGTCCCTCAGCTCCCATAAATCTAGAATTTACACATAAGGTCTATTTGTGTGTTGATTTTGAAAATAAGGCAGAATTTGAAAATTGTATATGACCGTATTTTAATATTTAAACCTGTTTTCAACAAATTCTCTTTACAGACTTACAACAGCTGTGCCAGACTCTGCTTAAACCAAGAAACAGTATGTCTAGCAAGCACTGCTATGAAGACTGAAAATTGTGTGGCCAAAGTAAGTAATATTATTCATCAATGTATCATAAGAATCCTTTGTCTGTAGACATCTTCAACTCAGTATTGCTATTAAAGACTATTACAGGATTATATATTTAAAAAAGAATACAGCAGGCATCATTTTATATAAAGCAGATTGCAAGTTGGAGTCTCTCTCTCTTCAAGTGCAGCAGATTTTTTTTTATTATTTTTTTCTGGTCACACTTTAGGCTAATTCATATTTTTTGCTTGACACTAGTTATGGATTATCACAAATAAAAAAGATTTCTGTACAAAAATGTACACTTATTTTTGTAAGTTCATTTACGGTTTTTAAGTGTAATCAAGTATAGAGCACACCATTGAAAGGATTATGAAATATGCTATAGAAAATCCAATCATTATATCACTATTATTATTTATTGAGTGGCTAATGATAGAAGTATTGCTTTTTATGATCTTGAACTGAGTGGACAAGTATATTTAATCATGCATATAACCAACTCTTTCTCATGTATAAATGTGTGCCATATCTATAGCCTACATACAAAAATAACCTTACATATTAGAGATCTTAGGATCTAATAATCGTTATCAACTATGACTCAGATTTTCTAAGTATCTCTAATTATTCAGGAACTTTGACCTAAATTTAGATATCAGCTATGTTGATTTTTCCAGGAAGAGGTAAAATTCCAATATGAACTCTGTTTCTAGATTTTTACTTTGCAGAATTACTGCCTCTATAGCTATTCAGAGACTTGTCACTGTTAGAACATTCCCAACTTTAACTACTTTTGTTTAATCTATTGTACACTCAGTCTCTCAGTTACTTACTGCCAGGCCTGGTATCATGTAGTCTCCATCCTTTGCTACAAAAATCAGACAGCAATATTTTTTATTTTTTTAATTTTATTTCTTAAAACATGCAATAGTCTCTCGACCTACTTTATCAACTCAAAACATATCATACAAAATATAATCATTAGAAATGATCCATATAAGAAAATGTCAGAATTTATTTAAAATTATAGTTTAAAAAGATAGAGTTAATCTATTCTGTTTCTTTAATTAGAATGTCTTAAAAATTTGCTGCAAGCTATGAATATTATAAATTTTACATATATTTATTTTTTCAGTCATTTAGTTACAACTAGCAAGTGCTGATTAACACTATTTTATATCCCTTTTTCTACATTGAGATAGAGAAGCAATTATTTAGGCCTTTAAAAATAATCTTTCTCCTTTTTGGCCATGCTGCTCTCAGTTTCACAAGTTGATGACTTCTGGCTAAACAAGGTAAAATCTTAGCATGAGCACCGATCCAAGGACAGGGTGACGATTTTAATGAGTTTCATTGCAAGCTGGCCAAGTGAGCATCTGTTCCTTTTGTTTTCTCCATACTTTGGAAGCCAGGATCTGTAAGCTACGTAGTTATGTTGGTGTGTATCTGTATGATGTGGGTTTTGTTTTACTCTCCTACCCTCTACTTCAGTGGTGCATGGTTAGAAATCTTCTGGCATCTGGCACAATGGCATAATTTCTTCTATGCTCTTGAGTGAAGAAGTAAGTTTTCTCTTTTCTGCTCATCAGTCTGTTTTATTTCCTCCCAGATGGTGACCTTCTCATTCCATTCTTGCTTATTTTAACATTATTCTGACACCTGTATCCTTTCATCGTCTCCTTAAATAATTTAATAATGATTTCTATTATTTCCTATTGGAGTCCACCCAAATTTCTGGTTCCTTTTATTGGTCCACGTTGTGTCTTCTGGTTCATTGCTTCAGATTTGAGCCAAGTAATCAGTTGGTCAATGGCAAATAAAAAACATACAGCTGAAAAAGTTTTGTTCTTGTAACAGCCTCCAGTGAGATGCCAATAACATGGGAATAGGGAAAGAGTTTTCTCTTTTTTATTTACATATGTTATATGTATCTCATGATTCTGTACTGTTTCTATTGGCCTCATTTATTGCTTGACCTTTGTAAGGTAATGACTTGCCATTATTTTTGTAAGTCTGCAAGCTTGTCTGTATTTCCTGCTCCTCTTCACCTTTAGCCCTTAACTGAATAGTTTCATATACTACACTTGATAATGGCTGCAGTGGTTTTTAACTTAGTACAAGTATCTGTTGTTGATTCAGATTGTGCTCCAAAGTGGCTTTGAATGTCCAACCGTCTCCATGTGAGAGCAACTATAACATAGATATAGCAACCATTTTTGTCTCTAGTTCAAAGCAACTAATTCTGATAAGAGTGACTTTGGTTTGGGTGGAGATAGTAGTTAAAGGCCAGAACTGTATTACTGAATGCTGCTTATATGAGTTTTAGAGAACACATTAATACCACTTATTTCCCTTAAAAACAGCAATGTTATTATGTTCAGACCCATATAGTATCTTTGCCAGCAATATCTTACAATAAATGTTTTACAATAGGTCTATGAAAAGGGACCCTTAGTTCTCTTTAGAATACAAGAAAACAAAGTTGTAAGACAGACTACAGCCACCATAGACTAATAATAATCTTTTGAATCTCTAACTTGAATAATGAGACCTAAGAAAAGATTTAAAAATAAAAATGAAGGAGAGGTCATTTTATTGATATGTTAATCCAAGTAATATTTGGAGGCATTGAAATTGTCTTTTATTTTCTTCCAAAGCCTTTCTTCTTGCTAATTATAGCCCTGTAGTTCATGAGATTTGTGTTTGGAACATGATGAGCTCTGTATTGTAGCTTTAAATGGACAGTCATTATTGACTGCCAGCTTAGTCTTTAAAATCAATAATTACATTGTACCTAATTGTCAACCTTCATGATGTTTTTTAATTGGTAAAGAAAACTAACTGGAAAAATGAAAAGCATTAATTTTCTGTGTTACCTTTTTATTGACTTTATTTAAATATTACGGAAAATTTTGGTTTCAGGCTTTCTCCTAATTTACCCTTACACACACACACAAGACACATATAGTTAAAATTGAGTTGTTTGAACACATCTACCTAGATTCCTGTCCAGGTAGGAGAAGTTCTGCTTCTTTATTTTTTAGGAAATAAACCCCTTCTGTGGCCCTTTGTAGATGTTCTGTATGTAGTTGTTGTTGTTTGTTGTTACTGTTTTTTATTTGAGACTAATCTGTTTGCAACTGACTGAGACAGAAAAATGTGATGTTCCTTTCCACTCACTCCAGATTTTGATAGAAGACTTGTTTTATTTATTTCCAAAATTATATCCGCAGGAAACAAGCTGTTTAAATTCAGATTATGCTGAAGCAAAATGGTCCTGGTATGAGAAGCAACGTGCTGTTTTACGAGCACAGAGTCCCTTTTCTCATAACTGATTGATAGTAAATATTTTCCTGAAGAATTATTACCAACCATGAACAGTGCAACTGTTTCACTTTTTTTCTGTGCTACTTGCTGTACCAGCCATTGTCGGTAATTAAGATCTACAATTCACAATGCAGACGTTTGCACTTCCTCTGGGTCTGTGCTATTTATAAGGCATTTCAGCTGTTCAGAGTTTCTTTTGAGTTTTAAACTACATGTTAACAGGCTTCTTTAATATACTGTTCTACAAGTAGCATGTCAGATGGTCCATTCTTCACACAGGCCCTTCTGTCAAATATAAACATTAGCTTTGTGGAGAATATATTAAGATTTAACCATATCATTGAGGCCAATGTGGTTGGAAAAACTCTGGAATGTAACATGTAACACTTTAGACTTATTGCTGTTTCAAAAGGACAGGAATAAAATTCAGCAATATTTTTTCTTCCATCTTTAAATGTTCATATGAATTTAATGAGTGTTAGTAGGGGTTACGGAGAGGGTCTGAGATGTACTAGTAAAGTGACTTTTCCAAGCTCACTTTGAAGTAATAATAGAATGAGGGACCCTTGTTATAGACAAGAGTTTGTGTGTTTGTCAGGAATGCAAGAATACATAACCTTCTAGATGTGCGTAATATTTAAGAATACGGACATAGGGCACCAAAATGGATCAGCAGATTGACTGCACATTTGTTGTGTAATCAGCTTCAGGAACCCTAAGTAGCATATGCCACTGGAGAGGAAAGTGTAAGCAGGAATCCTTGTGTATTAAAATTGGTAAAATTCAAAGTCATTTTCAATCATTTCAAGAGAGTAAATTAAAAAAAAAAGTCCTGACCCCAGTGAGAATCTACATGAATTATATCCTACAATCGAAGTAACTGCTTGCACAGTCTCCTCGCTACCTGCACTCATTGTTAAACATACAAGAAAAAGAAACTAGAAACTGAAAGCTGTCAACAAAGTCTGTTTAAAACGTTGCCCTGAGTAGGGATTAGACTGACTGTTTTTGAGCCTGAAGTCAGCTGCATTGATTCTGCGTGTTAGCTGCCAGCATCTTCCAGCAGAGCAGATCTGTGGAGAAAGGCAGGACATGGGTTTCAGTGCTGATTTCTTGATGGCCCCTTGAATATATAACAAAGCCTTTCCAAGGCAGTTTTGTTTCCCAAAACCTAAAAGTTTCTGTAGTTCTTTTGAACTACATTGTTTCTTTGAACTTTATCTCTTCAGTGCTCTTTATGAACCTTTTTTTAGATAGCAGCAGCGGTTCAACTGTTGGGAACCACTGGTATATCTGACTGAGGCGCTTCAGGATGCTAGAACCTATTCACATTTCTATCTAGCCAGGGAGCTAATAAGGTTGAGTTTGTCTTTGTGGATTGATCTAGATTAGCATGAGATGAGCCCAGTCACTGTTTCCTCAATGAAAAAGGAAAGGTTGGGAGAGAGGGGTGAAGGAAGAAAGTTCTTCATCAAGAGTTGACTGCAGTATTGCCTGCTGATGCATGTCGGATCACCCGCACGAAGAGATCACATGGCTTCTCCAAAAGTCAAACGATCAATTCGCCTCGTTTTGGCTCTGTACTTAATGCACAAACAGTGCGATCTGCAGGGCTGTAATTGCATTGTTAGGGCCAAGGAACAAGCCTGTGCCTTTTCAGCAGACAGCTGGCAGGGAGAGAGGCATGT